CAGGCAGGAAGCTTGGCTTCCTCCATCACTGGGGCAACCAAGCCTCCTGCTTGCTCTAGCACCATGGCTGCTGGCCGCCATCTTGGTTGGGTTAATTTGCATATAGTTGCTCTGACTGGCTGGTGGGCATGGCTTAAGGCATAGCGAAGGTACGGTTAATTTGCATGTTTGTCTTTTATTAGTGTAGATACTTTAAAAATATTTAGAATATACTTTATATTTGGTATATTCCAACATCACTGGGTATACTTAATGAGATAAAAAAAAAATAGAGCCCTAACTGGTTTGGCTTAGTAGATAGAGCATCGGCCTGTGGACTGAAGGGTCCCAGGGTTCAATTCTGGTCAAGGGCACATGCCAGGTTGTGGGTTTGATCCCCAGTGGGGGGTGTGCAGGAGGCAGCTTATCAATGATTCTCTGTCATCATTGATGTTTCTATCTCTCCCTCTCCCTTCCTCTCTGAAATAAATAAAAATATATTAAAAAGAAAAAGAATAAAATAGCAATAGGAAAGTGTTGGATTATTATACGGAAAAGTTAAAACAGAAAAAAAAATACAATGCATACTATTCTGAGCATGATAAAAAAATAGCTTTCCTTATGTCATCTTCTGTAGGCTTTTTAAGCTAAATAACTTTTTTTCCTTTCAAGCATTAGTCATTTAAATTACTTTTTTTAGCCACCATATCACACTATAAAATTTAAATTTCCTAACAAAGTACTTTTGATATATTCTGCTCACCCTCATCACCAGTTTTTCAAAGGAGAAAGCTGAACTGTGATTTCTGTTTCTCAAAATTATTACACTGCCCTACATGAAAGTGGTCCACGTCACCAGGTGAAGACATTTTTGGGAGATACTGCCCGGGAAGTGAGATGCCCACCTGGCCACTGTGATGAGCTGCTCCCTCCAGAGCCTGCCTCCCGTTAGCTGTGACTTTTTACAGGGCAGGGCCGCCTGTGCCCGACAGTGTAGCACTGTCCTAGGCAACTCTCTCATCCAACCTGGACTCCGGCACTAACTTAACGTGAACTTAGTAAGGACAGAGGAATAATATTTTATCATGACAATCACTTCATTCAGGTTTTTGGGGTCTGCTTTTTAGGATTCTTGCAATCAATGAGGGGACTAACCAGTTGTTTTGGAACTAGGTAAGTTATAAATATTTAAACAGTATGCTCAGCACTACAGAGCTGACTAAAGAATATATTATAATAAATAGATGGCTGATTAATATCCCCACTTCTTTGGTAATAAACAATGATCATCCCTAACTAACTGTAATGACTTTTAAAACCATGTTTATTTTTCTGAATCTCTTCTGATTTTGTTCTTTCCAGAATCATGAAAATAATGTTTCCTTCTAAGGGAAAATCTTTATTGTTCCAATAAGAACATGCATGTATTGACAGAATTGTGTCCCCCCTCCCCTGCCCAAATCCATATGGGGGAAAAAGTTGGTTTACAGTTGTACAAATTAGCAATAAGTAAATAATATGAGAATAAACTGTTCCACATACTCACAACTGTAAACCTACTTTTGCCCACCACTATATGTTGAAGCTTAACCCCCAATGTGACTATATTTGGAGATAGGGCCCTTAAGGAGATAAATAAGGTTATTAAGATGTAGGGTGGGTCCTGGTATCCCTTTAGGAAGAGGAGGAGACACCAGAGATCTCTCTATCCAAACACATGCAGAAGAAAGGCCATGTAAGGGCTCAGCCAGAAGGCATTTGTCCACAAATCAGGAAGGAAGTCCTCACCAGAAACCAGCCCTGATCTTGGACTTGTAGCCTCTAGAACTGTTACAAAATAAACTTTAGTTGTTTAAGCCATCCACTCATACAGTGCTTTTTCTTACAGTTGTGGAAAACAGTAATTAAAGAACTGGGATGAGTGTTTCATTCTTGTCTGCTTACAGTTGATGGAAACTTGGGAGTGGAAGAGCTGTTAAGAACTAGGAATTAGAAAAAGGCATGACCTTTTTTCTCAGTAGTTGTCT